GTTCACAAAAAATAAATAGACAAAAGGGAAACAATTAATTTGTTAACATTATTTAACATCTGCAATAAAAAATGCCATGTAGCTGATTAATAAAGGGGACGAAAGGGAATCGCACATGTTCAAACAAAACGGGATACATGTTATCCATTGTAAAATTAGTTGGAAGGAACGAATTCAGCAACTTAACTTTGTATCGCATGTAGTCAAATAAAGTAGGCTCAAGGTGTTGGAGTGAAATAAAAGAAACCAATCGTCTTGAAAAGAGTCAGACAATCGCATGATAATTACTGACTGGTGTGTGTTTGCGAAAAAATTTTTTGCAAAACAATAAATAAAAGCGGCGAGGCGTTTTAATCAAATGATGATCACGATCACAATCAACTGGATGAAATCAAAAAGATCTGGTTCTCTTGACAAAATTGAGGAACACAGTTAGAAAAAACGTCAGAACACAAAGACATTGAATCAACAAACCGCTATAATTACAAAAAAATCTGCAAATTTGTTCAAAATCATGTAAAAATTATGACCAGAAGAGAATTCGGTTTAATATGTCAGACATGTTGCAATATCACTTTTCTCAAATGAAGAAGCATATATTAAAAAAAATAGATTCTAATGCCAAATAGCAATAAATTTCTATTAGTTGGCAGATCCTTCGGACAGTTCTCTTAAGGAATACACTGTATCTCTATACCATTCCGTGTCCATTCTTGCCTTATGATTTATTTACCCTTTTTAGAAGTTTCATACCCATCCTTCTCCTTCGATATTTATGCAAAATTTTTGATTTGACTTTTAACTTATTCACTCACGAGCATAGTTGACGTATTGTTGTCTATACCCGTATTAATTATGTTGTGAAAAAGAAATATTTGTAATAAATGGAAACGATTTCATTTAGATTCGGTGGTTTAGTTGTATTTCCAAATTCGATTTACAAGTTTCAGCTGTAACATCAATTTCTGCCTCAGTTATTTCTTGCTCTTTGGATAACCACTATAAAGCTTTTCTATAATGACGAGAAGCTTGCGATATCTTTCCGTGGTCCAAGGAAAATCTGAAAATCTTTTAGATCTTTTAAAATGCTTTGAGGAGGCAGGCATCTTCATTTTTCTATCCGCATTGATTCTTCGCGTACGAATGATAGTTTTGACCATCAATTCATGATGTCATTCGTCTTTTAACTCTCTCAATAACGCACTTTATCATCAAATCCGACTGGTCTATCAATGATGGCTTAGTATATGGGGTTTGGACTAGGAAAATCAATCTCTCGGTTATGTTTTTTATTTATTTTACAAGAATTATAATTAGTAAAAAAAAATTGGACTCTTGTTTGCACAATAGAAAAATGAGATATATAGGAGACTTGAAATATTTTCTTTATATATTAAAAAACGCATGTAACCAATTAAAGGTTATTACTAATGGGGTTTTTGTCTCAGAGGTCGATTTTCCTAGTTCAAACCCCATATATGGGGAGTCTCAAGCGAAAATGAGTCAATTTTTTTTTTGTCATTTTCGAGATAATGATATAATAATATATAATTTGTGTGATTTATAATTTACTATTTTACAATATACAATAAAAAAATAGCAAGACTGCACCACTATGTCAATCAAGCTATCAAGTTGTTATGTTTGTGCATGATTTAAAATTCTTTTGTGCTCCCATCTTTCTTTGCTTATATATAATCTATTGGTTCTCTCTTTACTGGTCAAATGATGCCAAATTGGGTAATGGAGTATCAATAAATATAAGTCACATTTTACATTTAAATGTTTGAATATAATTATTACTGTTATGTTATAATTAATGGACACGTATATAAGATACTTGAATTCTTATGGTTGTAAAATAACTTTTTCTTGAATAAAGAAAATAATAATAAGTTTCAACATGGAAACAAATAATCATATTAAATAAATAACCCAGAAATATAGTATAAACTCTATTTCATTGATTAAACTGCTCTCCCACAATGAATTATCAGTTTACCAATTGCAAACTGGTTTTATGGTTTTATTTAAATTTGATTTAAACCGATTCTTGAAAATAAAACCAGTTAGATAATGTAACAATCTGGACAGAGGCTCCAGGCTTTTTCTCAACAGAAACTTCCTTTTGAAATAATTTAACAAAGAAAATAGGTATACAAAATAAAAGAAAGAAATGACAACCAAAATTGACTGGAAAAATAATACTTTTAAGATTATTCTTTTTTCACTATATAAAAATATTGCATGAATTGCATTAAAAATATACTTAATTTTATCACCAAAGTTCATTTGCAATTCTTTAAAACACCAGAAACTTTTTTTATATCAATTAATTAAATTTTTGGGGTGTTTAGATACAAATTCTCATTTGCTAATTTGAAATTCATGTGGATTTAATATATATAACAAGAATGATATGACAGTGGTAGCAATAGTTGTAATATAGGAATAAACTCTTGTGTATATTATATTTACACATTAAATTTTGTTCACTCATAAGTTGGATCTTAAAAAACCACCTGCCACCATTCAATTCAGTTTTAAAAAGGGTGTCAATCCATAAAAAAAAATTTTGTCTCAAATTTTTTTTTTTCATGGATTTTTTAATTTGATAGTTATGCTCAGAACTGGTAATTTTCACATTACAATATTTTTGCATTATATGATCAAATTTGAGACAAACAGAAAAGTAATATGGTTGTACTGCTTCCACATGAACAGAGAAAAACAAACTTTTACTATCTACTATTATAAAGTTAAAAATTTTATTATTATTTCTGC